ACTTAAAGGTGTGCTGTATGAATTATAAGGATGCCTCCATCCACTTTTGAGACTCCTTCTTCCTGGTGAACCAAGCAGCAGCCAGAACCTCATGCTTCCCACAGCTTTGACTCTCAGGTAACTGTGCCCAACTCTTCCTGCAACTGCAAATAGTCAATGTGTTCTGCCATGTCCTAAGTGCCACCCCACACCCAGAGTTCACATGGAAGAAGGCAGAGATAAAACACACTCACCTTTAAGCAAGACAGCATGTCAAGGAGGACAGTGAATACAGAATTCACTGCAGATAACAGATTACCTATCTGCCTTCAAAAATCACAGGAGACACATTCTTGCTTTTCAATGTCTTCCACCCCTTTTTTCAGTGATGCTTGCTCATAGTTTCTGCAAACAACACAGATACAGGTGAAACACAACATCAACTGAACTGCTTCATATTGTTTAGCATTGGACTCAAATACAACTCTAAAATTTGGATTTTCACCATCTCTCCTCCAGGGATATTGGCATGAATTGATTTGGCTAAATAATTTCATTTAAAAAGTTCAGTCCTCAGATTTGGAGAGGAATACTTTTCAAGCTGGTCATCCCAATAGAGTTAATGTAGAGGATTGGGATCAGAGTTTGGATTTGGGTCCACTGCAGATAATGAGGTATTTCAGTTCTCCTATCTATTGCTACTAAAACAGCATGCAACACAATATTTTACTTAGCATGGGGATGTGTGACTTTATGATGCTGCATGCAGTAAACTGATGACATTCAATTAAATGCCAGTGAACATGCATTCTTGTAGTACAGATTCAGATGTACAACAAACTGTGCATGCAACATCTAATTCAAACCAGTGAGTAAATCACTCATGCATACAAACACAGAAGTGAGGACTCATTATTCTACTACAGCTTTAACAATAAGCATACAAACATATTACATGAGCTGCAAACACTGTACATGTTGCAAAAGAATTTTACCTGATTTTTTACTTATTTTTTTTACAAAAAGCCTGAAGGCACAAAGGGCCAGGCCACAAAAGCTTAACAGTGGCCCCTTTCTATGATGATGTTGGTAGGTTTCAGATGAACTTTAACCACTTGCCACCCGTGGTTAGCTCAGTAGTCTTGTCTGCTAGTCCTCCTCTTCCTCCACTATGTTGAAAATTAAATGCTTTTGTTTCTCCTGCTGCCCAAGAAAGTAGTCTTGACTTCTTATGTGTTTCTAGAATTATCACTGGGTAATTAAAGATGCAACACGTGGCTTCAGCTGGTTTTGATTTATCATTATGTGTAACTGCTGACCGTTGTCTGGAGCATCCTCTTATTTGCTCAAGAATTCACATGACATTACATTCATTACAGGAAAGAATAAATACAATACAGCTGATGAATACTACTCTAGTTCTTCTATTTCCCCTGTAGTGAGAGAATCTTGAGATTTCAAATGTATAATGATAAAGGCAAAAACTGTTAGAAATTTTACATAACTGTTCATTTTTTCTCCAACTCAAAATTAGGGCAGTAATACCAGTGCAAGGCACCACCAACGTTATTAAGATCTGATGAAGAGTATGCCAAGTGAAAATGTTGCTCACTGCTTTCACATACAGATAAATGTATTGCTGCAAGTTTTAACATATTAGTGTACAAAAAGTGAAAAGGCAAAAGAAACAAATTACAGGATAGGATAGGTTAGACAGCATTAGATGGCACAAGTCGATATTTCACAGGACTGCAATAAGGAAAGACTACTGAATAAACTATTTACTCTGGGGCTTTGATGCAGCTCCTGAAATTGAAGCCAAAGTTCTTCATTTGTCAGATACATCCATGCATGCACACTGATGTATATACTTTCCTAATGCATTATAACAGCTGTGATTTTCAAAGCTATTCAAATAATCTACACAACCTTTTCCCATGAATTCCTTATCTGTAATTCACCAGATAAGTGGAAATCTCAGTCCAATTTTTAAGTAATTTCTAAGTGCTCACTCAATAATTTAAGTGCCATTTTCAAGCACCTAATTCATTTAATCACAGAGTTGTCTGTGACTGGGACTAACAGTTTGTCTAAAATAATACTAGGAGTTTTCAAGCAGAGCAAGAGACTACATGTCTTACCCTCTCATTACTAAGCCCCACAAGTTTTTTCTTCTAGGAGTTGATGCTGCTTATTTTACTTTGGGGATTTGTTCATCCTCAAAGCTGACAGAGACATAAAGCAAGATACGCAATAACTGGAAGGCAGAAAAAAGGGCAAATTTAGGATTCCTAATAACTGACTTCCTATGTTTAAGCTCTGCAACACAGAGAAAAAATAAGGTTAAGAAAGGAGGCAGGGATAAGCATGTGATACAGTGCTAGAAAGGGAGTAAGTGCTTTGTATGTCTCAAACATACATGCCTACTTATTAGGAAGAAATCCAGGCTTCCACACTAATTCAAGTAACTTGACTCATTTTCTCTGTTTTTTAATCATACTTGGTAAATACTGCATGATGCCGGGAGTCATACCAGTACAAGACAGATCACTTTCTTCTATGACTGGTTTTGAATATTTTGAAAAAATAACAGATCGAAAAGGTGTGATACATGCAGTAAGATCAATTTATAAAGTTGTGGGTCAGAAGCAGATTGCAGCTGCTGTGTTGTCTGTTTCTCTGGTTAGAGGAAACAGCATAGAGAGGTTTACACAGAGAAGCTTTTACTTCAGCTATAGATCCAGGCTCCTTGGCTGACGCAGTCATGGCTAACACTACAGACCTAAGCCTTGGTCGCACCACATCAGAAGCCATCAGGCTACCAGGACAGTTTTTTTTGCTGGTGGCAAGCTGCAGAGAAATCAGCAATGGATATACCTAGAAATACATGAATGATGTAGTAGACATAAATGTAATTTTTAAAGGTTTTTTATTTTATTTGCAATCAAAGGGCTGCACAGACCATTTGGTACCAGGTGTCTTCGTAAGAACAAATTGGTGCCCATAATATTAGAACAGCAGCCTTATTAAAATTCAGTACATACCTTGAGGCCTACATTATGTTTCTTAAAATACACCAGAAAGTTAACTAGCATGTGTGAATTTTAGCAATTACTTAATAATACTTTCTTAAAACAGTAGGCTTGTACGTGAAACACTACATAACAAAGCATGTGAGTGCTGAAAACCTAGGACATGACAAAGGGCTTTCTAGAGCCAGATGAATTAATGAAAGGCACGTTAATATTCTAGGTCCTGATTCCAGAGCATTGTTTTATGATAAACAGAAAATTGTAAATGCAAAATAAAAAACAAAACAGGAAGATACAGCTCCTTGCTTGAAAAAAAAATAAATTCTGTGCTCTAGATATAATTAGAGGAAGGTGGGATAACAAAATGATTTCATGTAGTGAAATATACTATAACTTCAACAGAAAAAAATATAATTCCAAGTTTTTTTCACAGTAAAAGCTAATAAACTTTTTGGTTTTTTATTAGAGGAACTACAAGGCAAAACTATTTTGTTTGTGTAGACCATATTGCTTCAGATTACCAAATATGCTTATGTATTCATGTCAGAGTAGTGCCTTTAAGCTAGATAATAAGAAAAGTACAACACTATTACAACGAAGGCATACAGTGAAGGAAACTGTGCAGAAAAATTAGGATGAATTAACTTCCAGATATAGAAAACAAACCAAATAATTATCACAGCTGTTTTGTAAGCCAGCAACACTGAATTTCCAAGTGGTAAACATCAATGTACCACCTGCATTGGAACTACAAGTATGCTTAGAAATTAAATAATTATCAAAGGTCAGTGCTGAAAGACATCAGAAATGTACATGATACATTTTTAAAAGTACAGTAGTAAAATTATCAAATGCCTCCATAGTCTACATTGCTTGAAGAACAGGATTCTGTCATTTACCCATCCTTTGGCTTCTGCGCCTCTCATCAGTGCAGTATCTTGACAAATTAATTGTTAACTTTTTGTGAGGCCTTACATGGCCCAATTCAAAGCTGTTGTATGCAAGTGTAACTCAAAGTCAATACATATAGACCATATGATTAGCATCCAAGCCTAAAAACAAGTGATTTTTCTCATTTAATAAAACACTTATGGTATGATACATGGCTTATGACAGATTTATTTACTGTCAACCATAAGATGCCTCAAAGAGGTGAAATTCAACCACTGTATCCAGTCACGTCATTTTATGTGTGTTTCTTTGAAAAGGATTTCTTTATCATTTCAATTTCTGAATTTGAAAAAATGGTCTTCATTTACTAGATGATGTCAGTGCTACATTCCTTTGAAATCAATAACTCAGCTTTCCAAGTGAAAATGCCTGCAAAACACCATTCCTATAGTTCTCAGAAAATATTAGAAAAAAATAATTCATGAACACTTCTACTTCTCTAGTGTTGTACTTATATATTGCTCTTACAAAAATACCATGACACATTTAAAGGCACTGTCATAAGAACCTAATACAAGGTTATTATTTCTTACATACGGTCTGAAAAAGAAATAATTCTCTCTTTTGTTGTCTCTCGTATCATTGTGGTGATATATTTTCCTTTATATCCTTTGTAAAGATAGTTTATAATCTGACAACCTTTGTAAGAAATTACTATAAAGACCCATAAGCATGGGGCTCCATACCAGCTCCCTAGATTAATTTTGAGATCATAGATTTTAAGCATATTCTAATTCTCACTGTCTTAATTGTCATAGATTGGTACCCAGAAAAGTGCCTTACTTGGCATAACAAAGAGGTTAAAATTTTCTAAGGTAGCTCCTGGCATATCATAAATCCACAGAGAAAATAGCCTTTAAGTCCTTTTGAAACTGTATTTATATCATGAAAGGGATTTACATGTAAAATCAAAACTTAAAAGTGGATTTATGGTATCCAAAAATCCTTTACCATGTGATTTTCCATCTTTCTGGCCTCTTCACTCTGGGGACACAATTCAGAAGTTACTTTAAAAAACAAAGTTGTACAAAATCTTACCTTGCAACCTGCATTCTAGTACTGAAGTCAAGAGATCTCATTGACCGTAAGACTTCTATACAGCCCAAGTACTGTAAGGAAAAAGAAATGGTTGGAAAACGTATTATAATTAGGCTTGAGTTCTGGGAGAAAGTGCAACTAATCATTAAAAGGCAATGTACAATTCTTATTTTTGCATTTGATTTACCCTATGTCTAAAGTAGATTATTGTGATTATGCTGTTCTATGTCACAGATTTGTTCCATAAACATTTTGTTTTATTTGTCACATTTCATTCAACATATAATTTTATGTTTAACCTGGTCACTGTAATACACTCAATTTCTAATGCGTTGACGTGCTTTTTTTTAGTTTTCTTCTATCTTAATTGATCCACTTTAGATACAATCAAAGTAAAAAACAATCTTAATGAGAAAGGAAGTGTGGTAAAAGAAATTTAGAAATAGGACAAGGTTATTTAAAAGGTAGAGAACTAAGTCTCATTAGAACAAAAAAGGCATCTTATAACAGGGAAAGATGAAAAGAACACCAGCAACTAAATTTTTTAATAAACAGCTCAGGGATAGATGTGATTTAGTATTTTCATTTTTTATAGTAGTAAAAAGGTGGAAAATGCTAATACAATATACTAATAACTCATGCTGGGAAATGGCTTTAACAGGGTCATTCAAGAAAAGAATGACATGAAGGTTAGCTAATATTAAGACAAGACCAGTCTTTTTGACCCAGATTTCTGCTCTTTATCTCTGTGGAAAAAATGGACTATCATTATGAAAGGTGTTAAAATTCAACATTATCTATCACTTGTGTGAAAAAATCGGGCGAATCTTCTAGATTTGCTTCCAAAAGTGGGCATAACTTGCTTATGCTAAATTCTACTGGAGCGAAAGCTCTTGTCAGATATTTGTGTGGTGTCTTTGCACAAACTGCCTCATGACTGGCATAACCCAGGCAGTATCTTGGCACGTAGGTTAAGTATTCAACAATACACGTGACTTTTGAAAGTCCAGGGACCTGAGAAGTCTTTACACCCTGAGCCTGTTAATGATGATCATGATGCTATTCTAGCATTGTGCTTTTATATCAGTTTTTCTATCTTCACAGCACAATACAATCTATCTGAGATGAAACTGGTGCAAAAAATTGCACCACTTTAAAAGTGCTTGCACCACTTTAAAAGGACTGCTTTTTTAAAAAGTGAGGCCACAATTTTTGCCTGTTTGGGAATTTTATTTTTGCTGAAAAAATAATCTTTTAAGTAGAGAATGACTACATCAGTAACCATAATAACTAGAATTTCAGCAAAGATTTTCCATAGAAACATGTATGCCATAAAATGTTTACAGGCTGAGGGAATACCTAGTTTGTTTTTACATATCCACTATTATTTAATTTATTTCTATCAAATGCTATGGAGTCATCACACCAGTGTATAAAACTAGCTACAACATCAACTGACTCTTATGCATTAAATTGAGCTTGCCTTATTATAGCACATAGTTTCTGAGAAGGGTTATCTTAAGATCCATTTTGTAGAATATTTCAGAAATAGGCAAATCTATGTTTTTTGAAAGTTTATTAAATATTTGTAGAAAGTGTCTTGTCTAAAGAGATCCTGGCACACAGAGCTTTCAAGCTAAAGATCATACTCTCAAACTGTCATCTATCAGTGCAATCCCTGTATCTTACTACAAATAAATTATTTTTTTTACATATGCTTCTGCCTGAGTACCTAAAACACATACAATTATATTTTCATGCTCTGATGAAAGAAGTTAAGCCATTAACTATATTTTTAATTATCTCAGATGGTGATTTCATTTTCATGGAGATTAAATTCTTAAGCATCACTTGAGATAATCAGCTGAAATCATTTAACTTCTGCCAGTAAACAGCAATGATCAATATTTTCCTGTTTTCTTTCTGTGTCATTTTGTTTTAGTCTGGATGTTTTCATAGATTAATTTTGCCCTTTATTTATTTCATATGAGATCCTTTTGTAATCAAATATGTTGCAAATGGTATGACTTTTCAAAGGTATCCCTATGATTTTGTGTTAAAGAAATTTCATTATTTCATCAGCTTGTTAGTTTTAGACCTCTCAATACCCCAAAAACACTCTTGGATTGCACTTGTTCCTTCACTTACCTATATTTGCCACAAGTCTTTTAAAGCAAAGTAATTGCATGAGTTTGAGAACCAGGTCCACCATTTTGGAAGCAAACTCTGGAAGGTGTTTTGACAAGTACATGCAGTCGTGCAAATAAATACACAAAAACATGTGCACACAAGCCACTGTCAAAGTAAACAGACGAATAAGTAGACAAAAACCCATAAACATACTTAGAAGACGTGCATTCAGACTCCTTTGAGTCATACTACCTGATCTGCATTAACAAAAATAGAGACAAGATCAGACTGAAGGAAGGTCAGATGGAAAAATTACCCTGTACTTGTTTTATGTATATCATGGAGACAGCTGAACACAACATAGTAAGGCTTGCAGTATTCCTGACTGATCAATGCGAGGATGGCAACTGATTTGCTGGGTTAAAAGATGTGAACACTTAATCACCACGGCATGTTTTCAAGTAACGAAATTACTGTAAAGAACTGACATTCAAAAGGTCCAAAGGCCAACTACAGGGACATATAACTCACCTACTGCTATGCTTCAATTATTCCCCAAGACCAACACTGCTGTCTAAAAATATCCATTTGAAGTACATCCTGACAAGGATCCACAGAAAGAAGACATACAACCAAGATAGTAAGGAAATAAATTATTCATTTATTTCAACAAATAAATACCCTGATTAAAAAGAAATGCTATCTTTTGCTTTAGGCATTCCATGAAACATTTAAAATATAGTTATAAAACAGTCTACTTCCAAAAAAAGCTCCTCTTCACCCAGCACTTAATGTATATTCTAACCAATCAGCTACTGTGCACTGTGAAATTTATGAGCTCCTGCTATCATCCTCCCTCTCATTGCTCAGGAGCCAAATATATCGAGATGTAGCCCACCTAGAAGTAGGAGGATTTGGGACTACCAGTTCTAAGCTTTCTCAGATAACATTCTGCCTTCTGTTGACTTTCTAATATTTGAATGAATTTCCAGATTGTGTACACTGAAAGGTACTATGTCCTAAGGAAAAAGTCTCTCATATGAATGAATACCTTCCCATTCAGAGGTTTTAAATTCATAACTTGTACTTTGCATGCTAAACAGTACCTTGCAGGAAGCAGAGTGCCACATACAGGTGGGACCAGGTAGCTCCTATTCCATGGGGTTCCAACATCCTTATTAGTTACACTTTTGACAGGTTAGTGTAAGGGATATGTCTCAGATTTCTGGTTTGTCCTGCATGCGAAGATTTGTTCTGTATTCCCTAAAGTACCTGTCTTCTTCATGACTTAAAATTCCTGTTCAGCACTTTCTACTGAAGCCTGTGTAAGAGAGGATATTGAGATCTCTCAACACTTCTCAGAAACAGACATGAACACTGGCTGAGTGCATTTGTGTACTTGGAGCCAAGAGAGAAAAAAAGAAAGAAAAGAGAGTAGTCACTGTCAGAGAAGCCCTTTGCTCCAGAAATATGAACAACCTTGTTTGGTGCTTCCTAACAAGCTCTTCAAAATACCAAGTTATTGGAAGAAATTCTCCATTGCTGGACTGAGAAGCTGGCAGTAACAACAGCAAGAAATACTTTAACAAAAACATAGCAAGGCTTATTCTATTATTCCACCAGGATGTATGCTCCATACAGCACTGAAGTAGTCCAGCCTACATACATGTCTAGCAGATGAGTGTCTGCCTTGTGCATAGCATATCCACCCATCACCTACTCTCCAACAAAATAAGGACTCCTAACCTCTGAATTCAAACTACTGGAGTATCATTAGCTCATCAAAACTGCATGAGTATTCTTAGTAAATTGAGATTTACTGGTTTTAATCTGTGTAACCAGATGACCCTCATCAGATCTAAGTGGTTCACTACTTGTACCTGCCTTGTACAAGTCATGTGAGAGATAACATGGTTACATCAGCAAACAGACACACACTTGTACTGTTAGACAAAAATTAGCCTGTGCCTTCAAATATTGATGTATCCAAAGTATGCTCTAACATTGCACAGCTGCAGATAATAGCCTGGGGGCTCAAAAATTAGATTCTTATTCCTGGGGTTCTGGTGTTGTATGGAGATCTAAGTTTCAAAAATAGAAATAAAATAAGCTGTGCAATTCACTGCAATTTTCTCACCCACGGGCTTAGGCTGTGCTTTTACTTGGCATGTGCAAAAGTGAAAAAGTGAATATCTTTTTACTTGCCACATCTGGTTCTCATGCGTATCTCAACTCATACGCCTACGTTTTCTTTTTTGTTGTTTTTTTAAGGGATGGGGGAATTTTCTTGCTTCACTTTGAGGGTTTTATTGTTTTACATTTTACTCTCATTTGCCAAAGAGCTAGTCCAGAATTACATTATGCCATGGAAGTAAATAAGTAGTTAGTATGAATTGACTAGTGCTAGTTAACTATGGTTGAGAACTCCCTTATTTAAAAATAAGAGCTTTTATTTCAGATTCTATTACTACTAGTGCAATACACATTTATTTATGCATCAAAATTACAATTTCTTCCAATTTCAGGTATCACCATTAACAGCTAAAGGAGCTTCTGAAAGGTGCACCGGGAGTTCCACAGTGTTCCACAATACTGAAAAATTACTTTCAGGTTTTCTATCTATCCTAAATCATATTAAGATTCAAATCCAGATGCCCGCTAACAAGCAGACCATAATACAAAAATAGTAACAGACCAGGATTTGATTTCAAGATAGCAAATGTGTCCACATGTAACTGTGGATACAACTGGGATTTTTAATAACAATATTAATGTGTGAAAAGGAAAAGAGGAAAAAAAAAAAAGAGAAAAACCAACACAAAAGTATCCCAAGCTGAAAGCAGCCCAAGCCGCAGCCAGAGAATGAAGATTGACAAATATTTTATAAAATTAATTTTTGTCTTCAGCAAATTAATGTGAAATTCAATCCTTCAATCCCTTT